GAGCAGAAAAATCTCTATCAATGCTAATTATCAGTTTTATCCCAGAGGTCTTCAGTTCTGCTAAATCAGAAGAAGAGAAACAGGCTACTGAGTTTTCTCAATTTTGTTTAAGAGAACCTCAGTAATTACTGAAAAATAGGCTATGATCCCCTTAGTGATTTGTTAATAACATTGATAACTCTTTGCTGGCTCCATAACCAAGATCATTTAGTAGGAGTGAACCTCTAAATATCCAGTGTAGGTATTTCTTACAAACAGGCAAACCTCCAGTGGGTTTAGCTTTGCTACTCTCTTGTTGTAGCTCTACAACTGCATGAAGGCACTAAGTCTGTGGGCTGGTCTTGGACCCTCCAGAGGGAGCAAGAAGCCAGATTTTCTTTTGAAAAGCTGTTCCAAACAGCTCTTTCTAGGAATTTAAAGAAGCCAAATTGTTCAATTATTTGTCTTTAGTCTGGTCAGAGTGTCAGAAGAGCCAGCATCTGCAGCCTGTAAGAAAGGGTGTATATACAACCAAAAGAGAAACTGGAACAAATTTCCAGGTCACTGCTTGGATCTTATCCTCAACAGGTCAAGGCAAGAGTGCAGGCTGTTCTCTGTAGAAAAGCTATGGGGTTGTACAGAAATGAGTCAATATTCTGGTTTCCACAGAAAAAAATACAGACAATTTCCCCATATTCCAGAGACTACAGCAAAGTCAGGACCATAAATCAGGAGTTCAGACCTGATCTCATGCTTTTACATGGAATTCCATTTCTCTTATTTCTAAGACTAGATAATCCAGATAAATTAGATCATCCAAAGACTAATCTGTGTTGTACTCAAGAAACCTTGCTTTAGAGCCAAGTGATTTCTATGGAAGCCTCACGTGTTTCCACAAGTGCAATCGCTCGGACAAGTGGAAAGTGCAGAGGAGGAACCTGAGGAGTATTTGCATCCTTTGGAACAGAGAGTGAGCCCAGGCCGGCTGCTCCAAGCCCTACCGCAAGCCTCTGGCTCCATCTACAGACCAGTCCCTGGAGCTGCAGGCCTGGAAATCCAGGGTCAATTCCCAGGAGGAAAACATGAAAACCACCACGTCCACCTTGGGCATTCTCTTCTTTTTTTTTCCATGCTGGGGGAGGTAAGGATGGCCCAGGATGTGTCACCTAAACACTGCACCACCCACGAACTGCCAAACCCAAACCTTTACAGCTCTGAACACACTGGAAAGAATTCAAATTTACAGAAAAGAGCATTCCTTGCCATTCAGTGCTGTCACTGATGGAATGCTCTACAACAAACAAATGTTTTATTGAACAGATCTTATCCAATTATGGGGAAAGAATGGTTTGCTTCACATACATCTGTTGTGCTATTCCTGAGCTTTCAAAGAGCAGCATAAACAAAGTGCACTAAACATTTTTTTTCTGAATAAACAGGAAAAAAAAGCATCAATAGAGCCAGTCACGGTACAAGAAAGACCCACCATAGCTGTGCAGTTTGTTCTGTTTACATAAAGAATTCAGAACTATGTGCCTGTAGGAAGCTCATTCATGGCACTGAAAAAGGGCTGGAGGAGAGAGGAAAAAAATACAACTAAATTCAAAGTATTTCCACTGATGGGAAAGTACCATAGGATCAGCTCAGGACTGTGGAACAAATTTAATATGAATACAGAGTTCACCTTTCCAAGGCTTATTTGCTTATTTATGTAAATCCTCCATATTTTACCTCTACATCCTGCTTGTTGGCCAACACCAGAATGGGAACCCCTTCCAGAGCTTCACTGGTAATCATCTTCTCTACAAAGGACAGAAACAAAACCAGGTTTAGCCAGTTCTGGAAGTTGTACAAAACTTCCAATCTGGCACAGATTCTCTGGACAGAGGGAGGAAGCCAAAAACTCCCTCTTGAATTACAATTTCATTTGATACAACCTTCCAGGACAATTTGGTCACACTGCACTTACCAAAAGCTCTTTTGGACTCAGAGAGCCTCTCCTCATCAGTGGAGTCAATAACATAGATCACCCCATGAGATTCAGCATAGTACTGGAAGGAGAACACAGATATTGGTGTCAATGCACTAGGATCACTTGTTCCTCTTCCTGACTTGATTTTGGTACAGTTTTGGTACATGTGGAGATCAAGCAGTTAGAGGCAGCTGTATCCACAGTGTGCCTGGACAGAATGGAGGCACACAGCCTGTGCTGCCTGTTCTGTTTGCAAGCCTGATCAACACACCAGCTGGAAAAGCTTTTGTCCCCCCAAAGCTTTTTTCTATGGCACAACCCCTCATCTGGGTTGGTAATTGCTGTCTGCAACCATTAATGCAAATATTAAGCACAGAAATAGTGGAATCTCTGAAAAGGTGTTAATGCTAAATACTGGGGTTATCAATAAGCCTGTGTGATTACCAAGTGATTGTGGTGGTTCAGTTCTAAAAGAAATCACAGGATAGTTTGTGTTGGAAAGGGCCAACCACCTCATTCCAACTCATTCCACCTCCCACCAGATCAGGCTGATCACAGCTCCATCCACCCTGGCTTTGAACACTTCCAGGGATGGGGCAGCCACAGCTTCTCTTGGCAAAAAAAAAAATCAATCAAACATTGATTCAAATAAATATCAAATATTTATAAATAAATAAAAATATCAATCAAACAAAACAAAACCACATCTCTAACCTTGTCCCAAAGTGACTGCAGCTCCTCCTGCCCACCAAGGTCCCAGAACATGAGCCGAGTTTTGCCAACATCAATAGTTCCAACTAGAAGGAAGGAAGGAAGGGCAATCCAATGAAATCTATGGGTGCTGTAAAGCACAGACAGCTGCACAACCCACTCAGAAATCTGGGGTGGGACAGGCTTGTAGGGGAGCAAATCACAGGCAGCAGCTGCTTGCAACAACACAGCAACACCTGCACTGAGTGATCACAAATATAGAGCAGCATCAGTGCAAATAATTCCAGAATTGGGCCAGGGAATGAACTCCAGGGAAATACAGTTTGAGGATAGCACTGAAATAGATACCTGGAGTTTTAATACTTGAAGAGTTTCTCCTCCTAAGTTAATAAAGTCTATTTCATTCTCTACAAAAAGACCTGGACAGTTGGGAGATACAATCTCTGCACCCAGGAATTATTCTGCCCTTCTTAAACATTTCAAATACAAGTTCTTAAACATTTCAAATACAAAACAGCTATCTGTGTCTATCTGTGCAAGAAAGCTGAAAAAATTCCATGTGGATTTACTTACTGTTTAAGCCCACAGTGGTTGTGATTTTGGACAAACTCATCCCTTTGTAGTTCTTGTTAAACCGGGTTTTAGTTTGTTCAAGGAAGGTCTGAAAAAGAATAAAACAAAATATTTACTGTCAAACATTTTACTGGTTGGGCCAATCCTATCCCAAATCAGTCTTTTCATTTCTGTACAATCCTGCTAGAGCAGATACTGCCCTACCTAATTTTGGACAAACCACTCTTCTTGCTCCCTACTTTAGCAAGGAAAGAAGGGATCACATGTGATTATGGGATTACCCAAGCCTCAGCCACATCCCTGAGAGCTTGTACTAAATTTAAGCAATGAGTAAAAGTTGATTGCTTGGTGTGACATCACTAAAGCAACTCAGGACACAGCTGAAGAGAGATTGACCCTTGTTGGAAGATTTATCCCTGGAGGATGTTTAGGATTGTGTGTGCCCCTCCACGGGGTGATAAACAGCACTTACAGTTTTACCAGCATTGTCCAAACCCAGGATCAGGACACAGTACTCATCCCTCTGGAACATGTATTTATAGAGCCCTGACAGCAGTGTATACATCCTGCTCCTGCAACAAATGCCAGGAAATCAATTAGCAAACAGCTCATTCCCAAAGCCTCTCATGCCATGACGCCAAACAAATAAATGATGTTACTCTTTTATCAGTAAATCTCATATTTAGGTAATTCCAGGAAAAATCAGAGATCTAAGACAGATCATGAAAAAAGCTCAACATTAAATTTGGGGTTTAAAAGGGAACTGAGGAAGGACTTTGACATCTCTTGCAGTAAAATAAGACCCACAGAAAATGAAGTGAATTTCACAAAAATACAAAGAACAGGTATTTTGAGCAAGAATCTGCAGAAGCTCCCAGCTGGGAGTGCACACAGGCTGGGATGCAGGGAGCTCTGGCACCAAGCGCTGCAGCTGACTCAGAGCCATTGCAGCAACCCTTGTGCTCAAACCCAGATAAAGGCAACCCCAAGGCAGAGCCTTTCAGAGGCAGCGCGTGGTTAAACAACCACTTTGAAGTCAAACACCATTACCTAAAGGGAAATAAAAGTGTTCCGAAGCAGGAAAAGGATCGGGGGTTTCACGGGGCTTCAATCCCACAGGTACCGGGGCCACCCCTCGCTCCCAGCTGAGACCGGGGCGCTCCTGCCGCCCCTCCGGGACAGGGGGGGAACCCCGGCCCGCTCCCCCTCGGGACAGCGACTGATCCCGACCGCCGGCCTGCTCCTCCCCAAGCCCGGAGATCCTCCCGGACCCGGCAGATCCCTCCAGCTCCGGATCCGGGAGATCCGGCCCAGCCTTTGCTGCCCTGCCGCGGCAGTGACGGCTGAAGGGGAACACCGGCCCTAGCACCATTTCCCCCTCATGGCCCCGCGCCACGTCCCGGGCCAGCGACAGGTCCCGGCCCAAGCTCCCGAGGAAAAGAACCCGAGCCCGAGGCCCGCGGCCCCTCACCTGGTGCTGGTGCCGGTGTCAGCGCTGGAGCCGGAGTCGACTCTCACGACTCCCCAGCGCCACCAGCCGCCGCCATTCCGTGCCCGAAACTCCGGGAAATGTAGTCCTGTCGCCGCTGCGATGGCGGAGCGAAAGGAGCCTGTGGACTACAACTCCCAGAATGCCCAGCGCCTCCCGGGTACTCCGAGTGCGGAGCGGCTGACGCGCTGCCAGCGCAGCCGGAAGTGGAGGCGCTGATGCCGGAAGTGAGGGTGTCATGGCGGCTGTCATGGAGGCGGCTCGCAGGGACTGAGGGCACGGTGGCGGCTCAGGGAGGCGCTGCAGCCCTGGGGCTGAGGGAGCGCCCAGGCTGCGGGAGGAGCGGTGCCGTGCGGGAGCCCGGTGGGCGAGAGTGGACTCCGTGGCGGGGGAGGGCAGAGCCAGGCCCGGCCTCTCCTCGGACTCTCCCGTCGCCTCTTGCCGCCTGTTTCCAGCAGGAGCATCGCCCTGGTCCTTCCCGAGGGAAAGAGCGGGACGGCGGGTAGATGTCGCTTCTGCGGGCGAGGACTTGTTATCCAGAAGTGCTTGAGTGAACTCTGAATGTGTTTTGAGTTCGTGGAGAGGACGCGGGCAGCAGCGCCTTTCCTGTGCTGAGGATGGATGAAGACAGTCTGGAAGCGGCGATCCAGACCTACAACGCGCAGCTGGAGCAGGTGGAGCTGGCGCTGGGGGCGGGCCAGGACCCATCGCAGCACTCGGACCTGATCCAGCTGCAGGAGGATTTGAAGCAGCTCATAGAACTGACCGAGTCGAGCCTGGTGGCTGTGAAAAAGAGCAAACTTCTGGCCACTTTGGACACAGATGCCTCCTCCTCCTCTCCAGCAACTCTCCCAGGGCAGGATTCCCACCTGGAGAGCTCTGCCCAAGATGAGGAATATGCTGCTTTTAAGGAAGCCATTGCTGGGCTTGGAACAGATGAGGAGGCTCCAGCTGATGACAACGGGATCTCCTCAGAGAGAGAGGGAGAAACGGGGGATAAATCCAAATCAAAGTGCAGTGAGGAGGAGGAGGAGGAGTCTGAGAGAGAGGAGGAGGAGGAGGAGTTGAGTGGGATGAAGGTTAAAGCCCCCTACTACAGCTCCTGGGGGACCCTGGAGTACCACAATGCCATGATTGTGGGGACAGAGGAGCTGGAGGATGGCACTGCAGGGGTCAGGGTGCTCTACCTGTACCCCACCCACAAGTCCCTGAAGCCTTGCCCCTTCTTCCTGGATGACAAGTGCAGATTTAAGGAGAACTGTCGGTAAAGAGAGAGGGGTGGGAGGGTTCAGAGGGACAAACCTCCTCCCCAAGTGCTCTGTGTGCCTTTCTCACCCAGAGAAATTGTGCCTTGGTGTTTTTGAAATGTGCTGTGGGGAGCAGTGGCATCACTTGGGCTGCCCTCTATAGCTGATCACAGGTGAAGTGGAAATTCCTGTGGGGAAGGTGCAGAGGTTTTACATAACTGAGTGGCTGAATTAACAACTGATGGAGTGTTTTGAAACAAAACACTCAGGTCTGTGGGTAATGCACACATTCCAGTTGCACAGGGGGGTTGGATAGTTTTGGGGATCTATTTGGGGCTCTATTTTTGGGGATCTACCCCAGGATGAGCCTCAGTGGTGTGTGAAGGTGCTGGGCTGTGAGCCTCACCTCTGTGAAGGTGCTGGGCTGGAGCCCTGCCTGTCTCTGATCCCATTTATCCCCAAATCCATGAATTTTTTAATTGGTTGTGTCACCAGCAAGGAAGTTTAATTCTCTGGTGTGAGCTGCATTCTTTGTCCCATGACATGAACAACATGTTTAAGGTGCAACATGAACAACTCCAGGGAAGTTTGACCACGTGCTGTTGTAATTATAATTGTGGTGAAGGTTCCTCAGCCCTGACACTCGTGTGCATTTCCTCTGAGGGAGGAAGGAAGGGATTTTCATTTGAGACCTCCTGTCCCTCCTTCCCTGCAGGTTTTCCCATGGCCAGGTGGTGTCGGTGGAGGAGCTGCAGCCCTTCCAGGAGCCCGACCTGAGCAGTCTGGGGGTGGGCTCAGCCTGCCTGGCCAAGCACACTGATGGCATCTGGTACACGGCCAAAATCACCGGTGAGGGGCCCAGGGGCAAGGGGGAGGCTGAGGTTTGTGTGGATCTAAAACTTGGCTGCTGTGGTTAATGACAGAAAACCATAAACTGTGTCGCTGCTGCCCTGAACTCAAAACCTTGGCCTAGCTGAGGAAACAGGCTGAGTTTTGTCAGGCTAGAGGAGAGAATTGACTGGGAAGTAGGAGATAAAGAGCAAGAATGTGGAAAGGAAATGACTGCGGGGTCATTAACTGCTCCAGGGAGGGGCTGCAGGAATTTACATGTCTGCTAGATGAGAATGGCAATAATCTGGTCTTGTTTAAACAAAAACCTGGGGAGCTGGCCCTGCCCAGCAGCTGCTGATACAGGCTTCCCTCTGTCCTGGGAAAAGGGAGGGTTTATTCCCTCTTTCCATCTTTCTTTTAACTGTTATTAAATCAGAAGGGAGCAAGTCTAACTTATTTTAATTCCACTTCTCAGCAGCCCATCTTTCTTGATTTGCAGATATAAACTTCTGGGTATCAACAGAGGCATTGTGGAAATAGCTTTTCATTGCAGTGGGTGCTTCCCCCTCCCAGACAGAAATAAAAATCACAGATTAAACCCAGAATTTTCTAGAGCTGTTCCTTGGGCCTCCCCCCATCCTGTGTCGTTCTGCTGGAGCTGACTCTGGTTTAGCTCCCCGTGTGCTGCAGCTCCTGTTGTTGCTGTTCCCTCTGTAGATGTGGACAGTGGCTACTACACGGTGAAATTTGACTCCCTACTCCTCAAGGAGGCCGTGGTGGAAGGGGACAGTGTCATCCCACCCCTGAGAAGTGAAGATGCTGCTGAATCTGGCGAGTCTGATGAGGACAGTGTGGATGATTCTGGTTATGCCAAAGGTAAGAAAACGGGAGGAATGTGAGCAAAAGTGACTTGGGATTTTGTTCTGCTTTTCTGTGGGACTGGCTGGCTGTCCTGGAGCTCTCACTCTGAGTGTCTCACCTCTAATGAAAGAGCAGTTGATCTCTTTATGTGTTCCTGAAAGACTGAGAACGGGAACTGGGTGTTCTGCCATAACTGCAAACTAAAATCTTTGTTTTGTGCAAATCCCTGGGCTAATGAAGGCTGGGGGTTTCCATGGGAACTCCCCACACAAGGAAGAAGAGGGTGTGATATTTTACAGTTCCAGGCTCTGAGCCTCATTCTTATGTGTCTGGCTGAGGTGAGTTAATAAGTGAATCAGAATTTCTCATCCCTGGGAGCTCCATGACTCAGGAATGTGAGACCCAAGGAAATGTTGGGTCTTTCTGGTGCCTTGATGAGGCTGCAGGAACAGCCATGCCTGTTTTACTGCTGAAAGGTGACACAGAGAGCACCCAAGTGACTTCTTGGAAGGTGCACAGGCAGCACTGTCCCTCTGGTGGTGCCACAGCTGCATCACAGGGACAAAGTCATGTTCTAGAGCTCTTTGCATTTAACCTGACAGAGGTTATTGGATCCTAATAACACAAAATTAATGTTATGGCCTGGAGGAGCCTCATACCAGAGACTGGAGGCACAGGATAAGTGTTAGGTGTCACTGTGTTAAATTCTGCCCAGATGTATACATTGTTCTGTATTACCATCCTGGAAGGAAGGAAAAGAATCATAAAACTCCTGGGTGATTCTGCCTGGATCTGGGAGATGGTATGTGCATTAAATCAAGTGAAACCTCACATTTCAGCCACTCCTGTGCAGTGTTCATGGAAGGTGACAATTCACTAAGAACTGAGTAAAGCTGGAGGCATGACCAAATGCTTTTAGAGTTGGAGGAGTGAATTGCACTATCCTGTGAGGGATGCTGCACACAGCAGCTTTATTCACAATTCCTGTTTCACTGATTCTCCTCTTGTGTTCCACAGTGATAGACTCAGGAGTTCCAGAGAATGGGGAATGGACCCCAGCCTGCAGCTCCTCTTTTGGTGGCTGGGAGGCCCACACTCGTGGCATTGGCTCCAAACTGCTTGTTCAGATGGGATATGAGTTTGGAAAAGGTAAGGGGAGAGGGTGCTCCTGGGGCTGGTAAGAAAAACCCAAGATTTTGGTTGAAACCAGAACTTTGCTGTGCTGAAGGGCCACTTGGCTGGGGCTCAAGCAATGTGGTAGATCCCAGCAGTGGTGGAGGGAAGAGGGATGAGTTATTTCATGGAAGTGCAGGCACGTGGGGCACCAACCCTGTATGGAAATGGCAAACAGTGGAGGCACCTGGGAGCACCGTCAGGCTGATGATCAAAGCCATGAGAACCTTGTGGAATGTTCAAAGGCTGGAGGTGGAGGGGAGCTGATCTGCAAAGCTTCTGATGTCTGTGCTAATGTATCTCCTGGCCTGACACAGACTTCAAAGCCTGCTGAACTCGCTGCTCCCACCCAAATTGCATCGAGCCTTGGGGGCCTTGGGAGGGCCTCTGTGTCTCTGGTCCTGCCAGAGGAACCAAACCAGTTTTAAGCAGAACATGGCTTGGGTTCTTCCAGAGGAACTAAACCAGTTTTAAGCAGAACCTGGCTTGGATTCTCCCAGAGGAACCAAACCAGTTTTAAGCAGAACCTGGCTTGGGTTCTCCCAGAGGAACCAAACCAGTTTTAAGCAGAACCTGGCTTGGGTTCTCCCAGAGGAACCAAACCAGTTTTAAGTAGAACCTGGCTTGGGTTCTTCCAGAGGAACCAAACCAGTTTTAAGCAGAACCTGGCTTGGGTTCTCCCAGAGGAACCAAACCAGTTTTAAGCAGAACCTGGCTTGAGAAGCTGAGGATGTGAGGCTGAACCTGGTTTCACAGAAACCGGCCTGACGGATGGCCTCAGGCTTGGAATCACAAATCTCCTGCTCTGAAAGGCTCCTGGCCTGGCCTTTCCTGGTCTCCTTGGCTTGGACAGAAGTTGTAACTTTTGGTACCTCAAAAGCCTCTTAGCTTGTTTTAAGCTTGTGACAATGTGAGCTTGTGGTGGGAGGTGGCTCAGAGGGAGGATGCTGTAATGACTCGGAGTCTCCCCTCAGGCCTAGGGAAGAATGGTGAGGGCAGAGTGGAGCCAGTGCAGGCTGTGGTGCTCCCTCGAGGGAAGTCCCTGGACCAGTGTGCTGAGGTGCTGCAGAAGAAGAAGCAGGGGAAGCTGGAGCCAGGCAAATCGAGGAAATGCCGGGCAAAGGGAGGCAGCTCCGGACAGCCGGGCGGCCGCAAGGCCCCGCGCGACGTCTTTGACTTCCTGAACGAGAAACTGCGCGGGAAGAGCGCCGGGGACAGGGCTGGGGGGGTGGCCCTGCCCCAGAGGAACAGCAAAGAGATCTACCATGCCAGCAAGAGCACCAAGAAGGCCCTGAGTGTCAGCCTCTTCCAGACCACGGAGAAGATTGAGCAGACGCAGAGGGATATCAGGGGAATCCAGCAGGCCCTGGCGCGCAACATTGGCAGGTAGGAAAACGTTCTTTGGGATGCAGTTTGTGGTGCTTCTGGGGAGGGGTGGGCTTGGAATGAGGTGTGGGAGGAACAAGTGAAGTGTGTCTGGAGGGGACTTAAGGGGAAGTGGAGGAGAGAGTTCAGTGGGTGCTTCAGACCAGCATGGACACTGGCAGATGTGTCTGAATTCAGGCTGTGGCAAAGAGAGGAGCTCTCTGAGGAAAGGTGCTGGAGTCCTTCTTGTGCCCACTCCTGCAGCATTGCTGTTGAGGGTCCCAGGAGGACATTCTCTAGGCCAGACAGTGCTGAGCATCAGGTTACTCCTGGCTTTCAACAGATCCCTTGGGCTAATCCTACAGGAAAGGGCAAACCCTCCTGAGATGGAACCCTCTTTTGATCTTACCATGCAGGATGACATTGCCACTGTGCTTTTTGCTTTCAGGCACAGCATTGCTGCAGCTCAGCTGGAGGAGAAGCTGGCTAATGCCCACAAGCAGCTGGGGCAGCTGCAGGCCCAGGAAGCCAGGCTACAGCGGGAGCAGAAGAAAGCAGACACCCACAAGAAGATGACTGAGTTCTAGGTGCTGAGGAAGGTGTTGGACTGCAGGAGTTGTCCTTCTGGTGCTCCTGGCCTCAGAGTCTCAATGAGCTGTCCTGCTCTGCTGGGCCTCAGGCTGCTCAGCCTAAAACTGGGCAAAAAAGCAGCAGTTTCTGGATGCTTCTGAGCTCTTCTGGGAGGGGGAGTAGTGCACATCCATCCAGCCCCGAAAGCATTCAGTGAGTTGGGCCTTGGATGAGGCCTAGCTACAAGGGATACAATTCTCTGCTCTCTTGCACACTTCTTTCCTTCATTTTCACTGCAGCAGCAGCTCCATCCAGAGTGTGTGGCTGCTCAGGTGATAACACTGCTGGCTACAAACCAGCTGAGGGGGCTTGGACAGCCCCACATCCTGCCAGTAACTGTGGCTTCTGTCTGTGGCCACCTGCCAAGCACAGGTGCAGGCAGGGTCCCAACCATGGCTGGGTGAAAACATCAAAGGTCAAGTGCTTTAGCTGCTCTCTGCCTTCTGGTTTTTACTGTGGGATTTATCTGAGAACTCCATTTTTGGGGGAAGCAGTTCTTTGTAGCCCTAGTGTAAGGAAGGGACAGAAAACTGACAGCTCAGAGGTGGAACCAGCAGCCTGGAGCATCAGATTTCAGCAATTTGACTGTTGGAGTATTCCAGGCCATGCTGTAGCCAAACCCACTGGCTTGGCATGGAAAGCTGCCTGGTTCCACAAGTAGAGTGCCATAGCTGGGGGAATAAGCCAGCAGCATATCAGAATTCCCAAACCTATCCAGGAACAGCTCCACAGGGACCCTTGTGATTTTTGCCACCATTAGTTGGGTTTATCTCTCCAAGGTGGCTCACTGAGCACAGGTCCTTTTACTAAAGAACCTCAGGACCCAGATCCAGGTTGGACTGTGCCCTAGGTGAGCACAAGGAGCAGGATGTGTGTGAGCCCAGTGTGCAGCCCTGCAGTGGCAGAGCTTGGGGCTGGGCTGGAAGCAGGCCAGGCAAGCCAAATGCTCTTCCCTGCCATGTGGAAAGTGAACAGGAAGGATGTCCTCTCCCCTTGGTTACATTCTGTGTTGGTGGTGGGCAGTCCTTGCCTCAGAGATGCTGGTTTCATCATCTGGTGGGATTTCTGCATTGTAAAGGCTTTTTTTAAAAACAAAAATAGTTTGCAATTCATGCCAGTATCTTAAGGACACCAATTTGTTTTTTTTTTTTAGTTTAAGGAACCAATTTCCTTTTATTCTGTGAGTAACTTTTCTAATGAAAAGGTTCCTTTAGCACTCTCTTTTTTATCTATTCCTGAGAACAGAGTAAAAAACAAGCTGTCAGCCTGGGCAGGGCAGTGCCTGATCTGCAGGGTCAGGCTGCAAAACGAGCAAGAAAATCTGAGACTGAAGAAGATATGATCAGAGCTGTTCAGGTTGTGTGGGTTTTCACATTGCTGCAGACACACCTCAGAAACACAGCGAGACAGCAAAACCAAACAAGATGAACATCGTCAGGAAACCTGTGGGAGTGAGTCTGTGCTCCTGAAGAGCACCTGGATCGTGCTGTGATCCTGGTGGGTGTGGGATGTGTCATGGGCTGCCTCAGGCACTCCGACATCCATCAGTTCCCATTGGAATTGGCTATTCTGTCCTCATTGTTCTGAATTCTGTGTTCTTCACACACCAGGCTCAACTCAAGGGTTTAACAATGGCCCTTCCCTCACAAATGACTGTTTGTTTGTCACACTTGAGTGCTAAGTGGTGACAAGGATAAATGTGCCCAGCTTAGCGTGGATGCTCACTGAAGTGGCCCACGACTGGAGAGCTGAGCTGGGCAGAGAAAACTTGGGGGTTTATTTTGTGTTCTGAGACTGTTTAACATCATCATCATCATCATCTCTTTAGGAACTGGGTGTATGACCCGTGTGTCTTTGCTCAGTCCTGTTTTGACCCTTCCTTGGGATCTCCACAGCCTGACTGTCACCTCCCACCCAGCGCAGTTCACATCCCTGATGAATAAAGTTGGTGTTTCTTTTTTCCTCCTCTCTCCTTGTAAGGCGTTGTTCATTTGCAAGGTAATGATGATCCGGGGCTCCCCGTTCTTCCCTTACATCGCCCTGAGCCCCGGGAGGAGCCGGGCGGGGCAGGGGCTGCTCGGTGTGCTGAGCTTCCCGCCCCGGCTGCGAGCACAGACCCAGCCTACCCCGGGCTGCAGCCGCCACCTCCGAGGCCAGGAAGCTGTGGTGGGTGTGCTCGGTGTCTGCTCACAGCCGGCTGCTCCTCAGGGAGCGGGAGAGCTCAGATCGGGATGTTGGAAATGCTCGGGAGGCTCTGACTGGGACCTCCTGTGGGATAAGAAATGAAATTCTCCAGGCTGGCCAGCAGGGAAGAGAGCATGGTTGGATCCCTGTGCTCCACACTCACCGGATTTTGAGTTCCTGTAGGTAAGTGGTGGTGGCTTTCCTGCCTGGGAAATGAGGAATCTGCAGCTAAACTGGGGGAAAATATCTTAAAACCCCCCAAAGTATACAGAAGTCACAGCATTGTCAGAGATGCTCTTGGGGCTGGACAGACTGGACAGGCAGGATTCCTGCTCTGCTCTGCTCTGCTCTGGGAGAGCTAGGCTCAGCTTTGTGAGTTGGGCTCCAAGCTGTGTCATTCCATGCTGTGTGTTCTGTAGCTGGGCTTGAGAGGGAAGCAAAGGTGGTGGAGCTTGGCAATGCTGCTGGGATTCCATGGCTGGTGTCTGGAGGCTGAGTGAGAGCCAATTGCTTTTGGGGTGAATGAATTCAGTTCAGAGGTGCATGGCATTGTGGAAATTTCCAGTTGTTTTGTGGGGAGGGGGACAGGAGTGTTGCTGATGTGTGCAATGGGAAAGTGCTGAGCCCCTGTCTCTGGCTGAGGAGGCTTGAGAACGTGGCTCCTGAAATGCTGTCTTCTGAAAACCTAGGATGATGTAGAAAGTAGTGCATGTGTGGCAAAGGAAACCTGGAGAAGACACATCTCCTTCACGCAGCCATGCTCTAGTTTGGAATCTGGCTTCCCAAACCAGCAGCTCTGAGCTCTCTGTTGGTCTCCTGCCGTGGCTCAGCTCTGCAGAAAACCTCTTGAGATTATTCTTGCCTTAAAAGAGCATTTTTCTGCCCAAGTGAGTGTTCAGCAACCAGGGAAGGGCAGGAAGAACGAAAAGTGCTGAAATGGGGTCAGCCTCGAGCAGAGCCCTGTGGTGTGGGCTGACAGTCACTCACCTGAAACTTTTAAAGTTGTGTTTTCTCAAAAGCCACTCCAGCATGTGAGCAGCAATCAGAACTGCAGCTAGAAGTCTGCATTCAAGTTTGCAGGCATTTGGGTCTGGCATTTAGAAGTATGGTTGGCACTTTCTAAATGAAAAGCCCCCAGAGGTATTTGACCATGAAATCTCATTACGGAGAATAAGCAAAGTGGGTGAGATCTCATGCCTGCTTTTTTGAAATAGTCTTAAAATTCACTAATTGCACCCCATGGTCCAGGGCAGATTCAGTGCTGTGACTGACTGTAAACAGATCTTTCACTTTTTGTAATAGAAAAGAAAAAAATTTATCTACTTCTGCTTCTTGAGCCTTTTTTGAAGCACAACTCCCTGGGGTACCTGAGCAGAGTTTGCTGCAGCTGTGTGCACAGTTGCTGATGGAAATCAGCTCAAAATGTTCCTCTTGGTTTTGTGCAAATAGGCTTTGAGTAGCTGTGCAGACTTTTTTCTTGCCACCCTGCACTGAAGACTGTGTGGTTTTATCTGGGGAGATGAATCAGAGGCCAGGCAGAATCATCACCAGCAGCGCTTGGTTTTGCAGTGAATTTAATCTTGCTTTCAGGAAGCCCAGATGAGAAACTTGCACCTTTCATAGGACTCACAAAAAACTCCCACATCCTGGAGTAACAGCCCATCTGCCTTGAGGGTGCCTGTGCTGGGGTGTCACACAGGGAGGGGAGAGATCCCTGCTCAGGGCTGTGGGTGCTGTCACACGTACGCAACGGCTGTGACCGCCCTCGCCTTCAAAGCTACCGGGGCTGGGCTGGGCTGGGCTGGGCTGGCAGAGCCGGCGCCTTTGAAACGCCTCTGCTGAGCCTCCAGCCCCGGGAGCAGCCCCAGGGCAGGGAGATCGATAACTTCATCGGCAGGAAACCCAAGTGTTTGCCTTGCAAACCTGCCCAGTCCTACCTGGGAGTCGTTAGTCAGGGGTTCTGCTTGCAAATCTGTGGGTTTGGGAGACCCAAGGTGCTGTCCTTAAGAAGTGGCTTCTCCTGGTGGCTGCTGATCCTGAGCACTGAGGAGGATGCGCTGCACAGTTTCACTGCTCAGAAATCCTGGAGCAACCATCGACCTGCTCTACAGAAAATAGGCCAGAAGAATTTCTCTGCGCTCATTCCTACTCAAGGAAGTCTCTCCTTTCAATCTTCAGAATTCAGGGATGGAAAATCTCCCTGCTGTGGGATAAGCTGCCCCGTGTGTGCCTGCCTCAGCATGCTGAAAGCTCCCACCTGGATTCCAACACCACACCAGCTCCTGGCCATCAAACCTCGCTAGAACTTTGTCTGCTCAACTGCAGAGCCTGCTCAGCTCTGCCCTGCTCCTGCAGCCCATGATCCCATCCCTCTAATGAGCTGAACGAGCCCAGCAAGGAGCTCCAGGCTCTGTCTAACACACCGGCCCTGTTGCAGGTAATCCCAATAATTAAAGTGTGCTCAGACAGAAAAGCTGTGTTGTCTAATTAAAACGTTGGAAAGGGAACAGCCTCCCCTTCCCAGCTCTGATCTAAGCCAGTCTGTCCAGCCTGGTTAGTCCTTAAAACCTCTCTGTCTCACTTTCTACCTTGAAATAATTGCTCTCCAGGGTTCATGCTTCAGTCAGGGCAGTTTCCAAAGGCATGGGAAGTTCTTAGATAAAAGGATGCTCGCAGATAAAAGGGTGCTGCAAATGGGCAGAGACCTTCTGGTTATTGGGGTAAAAATGTGCCAGAGATGCTGTGTGACCCAGAGTGCAGGGGAGAGGGATCTCCTGTGGGTCTGCAGTAGCTTTTGAGATTTACACAAGGCAGGGTGGCTTCTCACTAGAGCTCATCTGGATGAAGATATGCAAGAGGGTGAGTAAGAGGTGCTCAGCACATCCCTCTGGATCTCTGGGTTCCCTTCTGTGCTGGTGGAAGCTGATCCTGCTCAGCTCTGCCCAGGGACCCTACTGCTGGCCCCATCTGGATCAGATACCGAGGCTTCTTGAAGCTGTGTTTTACTCCAGGAGCTGCCTCCATCTCCTTTCAGATCAGGCCTTTCTCGGGTGCTGGTGACAGGGCAGCCTGTTTTTGTAGAGCAGGGTGCACAGAGCTGAGCTGTGCAGAGCTGGGAGCTGCAGACACCGGTGAAGGGGTGTCAGCTTTTGCTTTGGGTTTGCAGCGTGCTGGCAGCTGGGGATGGGGTTGGTGGCATGGGAATGATGGGACAGAGTCACCAAAAGCCTCCTGGGGAAGGAGGTAATCCTGACAGGCTGGGGAGCACCCGTGCTTTGTGTCAGGACACCCTCCTGCACTGCCGCTGATTGCAGGGGATGATATTTGCCCTGAGGAAAGCAAAGGGACAAGGGCTGGGGTTGGGCAAGGCACAGCTTTAGGCACAGGAAAGGGGTGGGAAATGGGGAGATTTCTGCTCTGTGTCTCAGCAGAGAGTGGCTGCAGAGCTGGGGTTGTGGTGGCACAGGGAATGTGTGAATCCATTGCAGGAGGAGGGTGTCCTGGTGTGTTCTGCTGAGGCCAGGGCATGAGGAGGCAGAGGAAGGAGGTGCTGAAGCTCCCCTTGTTTCCAGGAAATTGAGTCATACTGCCTGTCCTTACTGGCCTCCCCTATGCTCAGGATTGGTGTCACCCCCATCCCACAGCCTGGGCTGGTGTCCCAGTATCCCCAGAAAGCACTCTGTCATTCCTAGGATGTCTCCAGAGGGTTTTCAGGGCTCCTGGGCATCTCCTTTTCACCATTTCAGTGAGCTCGAATCCCACTGGTCTTGTTGGATTGTTTTTTTCAAAAGGAACTAAAATCTGAAGTTTTCCCTGGTGGTGACAGAGAACCCAGTGCCAAATGTCCACATGGGGCTGGACACTGGAGGTGTTACAGTGACTCTGGGGACAACAATCGCTGGCCAGAAAATGGGACACACAGTGAAATGTTCCCATCCAGAGCATCCAGAGAGATGCCCTGCAGGGAGATGGTGCTGCAGGAGTCCCTGGGGGTCACAGAGCACCATTCCAGCAGCTCCAGACTGAACCCCAGCTCGTGTTCTCTCTCCTCAGAGCTCAGTGGCGCTGTGAGCAGCTCCCCCATGGCTGCAGCCAGCGGCGAGGGGACAGCAGGGACCCGGCTGCTGCCAGCTGGCACTGCCCTGGCCCTGCTCGGTGGCCTGGTCTACCTGGGCACCCTGTGTGCTGCCTGCAAACGGTATGTGCTGCCCACGGCTCCTGCACCTTCCCTCCTGGGGCTGGGTGGGGCTGGGGGTTCCCTCCCTCGGTGGCGTTTGGTGGGGCCTCTGTGTGCAGCCATCCTGAGCTGGGATTGTGGGATCTGCTGCTCTGCTCACCCCAAACCCCCACCTGCACCCCAGTGCAGCTCTGCCTGGCTTGATCCTGCATCCCTGTGTGTCACAGCCCCTATGCTCAAAAACCTCAGAGGAGCAGCCCAGAGGGGGCTGAGCTGCGAGCAGCAGGGGCAATGCCAAGGGTGGTGCCCTGCATGGCTCAGTGGGGTGCAGGATGCAATTGTGATGTCCCCAGGCAGCACAGAGCCTGCTGTGGGACAGGGAAGGAGCAGGATGTGGGGTTGGGAGTGCCATACTGGGACCCCTGCTCCTCACCCCTGGCTCTGCCACCTGCCCTGGGCTCAGCCCCACCTCTCCCTGCAGGAAGGGCAGGAAGAAGGTCGCTCCGGACGGGGTGAAGCTCGTGGAGGAGGTAAGAGCACATCTGAGGGGCAGGATGAGCCCTGGGGGTGCTCTGGGCTCCCAGCCCAGCCTGAGGGTGTCTGTCCCCCCGTCAGGCCCTGCTCTGCCAGACACAGCTGCGCTCACTCAGCAAGTCGGACACGAAGCTGCACGAGCTGTACCGGGTGAAGGTCAGGGACGGTGAGTGCCCTGGAGCAGGGGGAGCCCGAGGGGCTGGTGGCCCTTGGCAGCTCCCTGCAGTCCCCAAGCTGCCCATCATGCCCATCACAGACATGCCACAGCGCTGGCACAGGGCTTGGTGCCTGCTGCTTCCCCTCATTTCCTCTTCTCTCCCACAGTCCAGCGTCCGGCCAGCCTGGATCTCCCCGGTCCCGTGGCCCCTGGGGGTGAATCCCTGCACAGCTCTGGCCTCCTGCACCGTGAGCTGCCCCAGATCCCCGTCCCTGAGCCCCCGGCCACCTCCCCAGCCCCCGACCAGACCTACTCCAACCTGCTCTTCACCCCGCTGCGCAAACCGGCGCCAGACGCCGTCTATGAGTGCCTGGCAGTGGGGGAGGAGGGCACCCCCGTGTCCCCCAGTGTCACCCCGGTGCCCCCCATGCCAGCTGGCACCCAGGTGTCCCCTCCACGGGCTGGGCACGGCGCAGCTGATTACGCCTGTGTCCATAAAGTGAAGAAGGTGGTGTCGGTGGAGGTGCAGGACGGGGCTGTGGCAGGACCCTCAGGAGCACAGCACGGCTGGGATGGCACAGGCAGTGCCCCTCATGCCAAGGTACACTCTGGGGGACAGCAGGGATGGGCACATGGTGGGGTTATTTAATTCCCTCTCTCCTGGCTGTGCCCATGTGTGGGGCAGGGTATAAGTTCGGATGCACTGCCAGCATCCTCCTGGGGGGCTGTCAGAAGATGGGGGGGCAAAATCATGAGGTACCCTGCAGTGGACAGGGATTGCCCCCAAACCTCCACCCAAAATAATTTCCTTTTGCAGCTGGAGGAGATGTACTCGACGGTGTGCAAAGCCACCAAGAAGAAATCCCAGGTCCCCGCATCAACCCCGAGGGCTGTGAAGGAGGGGGGGTCTGGGGGGCCGCCCCTCTGCCAGCAGGAGGGGGCTCCAGCAGCCCCAGGCCCCCCTGACCCCTGTTACGAGTCCATCAACGACAGAGCATGGACTGCCCAGGCCCGTGGCCCCGAGCCTGACTACGAGGCTGTGGACATTCACTGGAAGAAGGCAGCAAAAGGGGCCAAGCCAGGGAAGGGCTGTGTGCCTGAGAACCTCTACGAGAGCGTGGTGGATGTCTGGGCAGGGGGGTCCCAGAAAGGCTCTGCCCGCACAGCAGCCAACGGGCTGCAGGTTTACATCACCAACCTATAGCCCCCAGGAGCAGGGGCAGTGCCACGGAGGGGGCCCACCTGGCTGGGCACCACTGAGTGCCAAAGGGACAGGTGCCAGCACCCCTGTGCCCACCCTGTGCCCTGCACTCACTCTCTGTATATATTTTCTGTTACTTTTCTATGAGTGTCTTTGTCCCATTCCAGCCCAGCTGGTGCCAGCAGTGCTGGGATGTCCCAAGATGGGGGTGCTGGGTGGGACCCCAGTGAGGGAGGGCTGGCACTGGCACCAAGATGGGAACAGGGTGGGGACCAGTCACGTTTTGGGGCAGGGGGGTGACGGGGCTGCAGCCAGCCCCCTGCCTTGGGCTGCAGGATCAGACCCCCATCAGGAGGTTTCTGCCATGCCTGAGGGTCTCTGTCCTCCTCACACTGCCTGGGGGACAGCAGGGCCCCCTCCAGCCCCCAGGAAACCCTGAGAAGCTTTGCCCCAAATCACAGAATGTCCCCTGTTATGGGGAGATGGGGTCAGCCCTGTGCCTCCACGGAATCATAAAATATCCAGAGTTGGAAATGACCCACATGGGATCATTGAGTCCATCTCCTCACCCTGCACAGGACAACACAGAACTGTCCCTGGTGTGGGCTGCGGGCTCTGCTCCATCCTCCATCCCCACCCTCTCAGACCCATGCAAGGGTGTCTCCATGGGTCACCATTAAAAGGCTGAGAGAAAGTTTACACTCTTAAACTGAGTCTAAATCCCTGGTTCTGGGCGCTCTTGCTGCTGCTGCTGCTGGTGCAGCTGGTGCTGAGGGAGCAGCTTTGAGCGCAGTGTGTCAGTGAGTGCACCAGCTCTGCATGGGTGGTTTGGCACCTCTGAAATGGGGACACACAGCCACCAAGAGCTGCTCTTTGGGGGGATCTGTGCCACAGCAGAGCCTTGCACAGGGCTGTGGTACAAACCAGGCTCAGCATTTGCTTCCTTGCTCACCTCCCCATCACTGCTGTGGGTCCTGCAGCCTCCGTGTGCCAAAAAATCCTGGGTGGGCTGCATGTGTACCACAGCTAAACCTCCCCTCCTCTCCTCCCCGGTGGAGCTGCACATCCGTGCCCCAAGGGACGCGGTGGCAATGACGGTGTGACAATGACGGTGTCCCTGTCACACGGCCAGCGGCTGTCTGACCTCGTGGCACGATGGCCTGGCGTGGCTGAGGCGGGGTGGAGCCGCCGTGCTGTGCCGTGCCGTGCCGTGCCAGGCCGTGCCTTGCCGGGCCGTGCCGGGCCGTGCCTTGCCATACCGTGCCAGGCTGTGCCGTGCCGTGCCGGGCCGGGCCGGGCCGTGCCAGGCGCTGTGCTGCAGGAAGCGCCGCGCCTCCCTCAGCATCTTTGCCCCTGCACCGCGGCAGGTGAAGAGATTAAAACCGAAAACGCAGCGCTCAGCAAACCCCGCTGGAGGTGTCAGAGCCGAGGCACCCCAGGCGCCGTCAGCCAAACCACAGCGGCCCTCGAGAGCTTCTCCCATCCCCCTGCGAGATCGCGGCGCCGATAGAGCGCGGCTGTGCCGCTGCTGCCGCGCCCCGCCTGCTGCCAGGCTGCCACAAGCACGCGTGGGCTCCCCCGCGCTGCCCCGGCCGCATCCTGCCCCTGCTCCCCTCTGCATCACCCCAGCACTCACGGTTGGGGCCCCCCTGCACCTCCTGGACCCCAGGGAGCTGTTCTGGGCTGTGCTGCCAGGCACGGGAGCATCAATTCCGTGCGGGATCAGTGGGGCTTCGCTCCGGTCCCCGCGCTGCCCGTGGGGTGTGGGTGGCACATGTGTGCGGGAGAGTGAGCGGGAGTGCATGAGTGTGAGCGGGTGTGCAAGAGTGTGAGGGGTGCCGTTACCACAAGAGGGAGCGAGCAGGAGCCCACAGAGCGCCCGAAGAGGCTGAACGGGGCTGCATGTCCTGTAATCCGCACCCTGTGGGATGTGGCGAGGGGCAGCACACCCTGCACTGTGTGACACCCGCACGGTGTGACTGACACCCACACTGTGTGACACCTGTACTGTGTGACACCTGCACTGTGTGACACCTGCATGGTGACTCCTGCATGGTGACACCTACACTGTGTGACGCCTACACTGTGTGGCACCTACACTGTGTGACACCCGCGCGGTGTGACACCTGCACTGTGTGACACCTGCATGGTGACTCCTGCATGGTGACACCTACACTGTATGACACCTGGACGGTGTGACACCTGCACTGTGTGACACCTGCATGGTGTCACTGACACCCGCACTGTGTGACACCCGCACTGTGTGACACCTGCACTGTGTGACACCCGCACATTGTGACACCCGCACATTGTGACACCCGCACGGCGCTGTAGGGCACCCTGTGCCATCAAGACCCGCACCCCCATGTCCCTGCACCCCGCAGCCCGCGCAGCTCTGTGCCTGTCCGGCAGCACAGCGCTCTCCATCCCCCCAAAGTTGCCCCACAGCCGAGCAGCTCCGCACCCCGCCTAGCCCCCCATCCCTGGAGCTCAGCCCCGTGTGGCGCCGTGCCCCGGCAGACCCGCAGCCCCGGCGGGCAGCCAGGGGGACACGGGCAGCGCGGGCACGGCCGCGATCCCTCTGCAGAGCCCCTGGGCGAAGGGCATCACTGCAGCCCTCAGCCAAGTCCCAACAAGGGCACCCGGGTACCAAGGGGCATCTCCCAGGGATGGTGATTCCTGGGGGAGTCCTGTGCAGGGCCAAGAGCAGGACTAAATGATCCTTGCACGGCCTTCCCAACTCAGGAGGTGCCATGACCACGTTTAAAGTTTGGGATGCCCCCGTGCCGAGCCCCCCTGCCCGGGCCGGGGTCACCGTGTGCGAGGGTGGGCGATGCCCGTGGAGTTGCACAACACCGAGCGGAGCTGCCGGAGCCTCCGGATCTGCGCTTGGGCCGCCGTTAACCATTAAACCGGAGCGGGGGCGGCCGCGGAGCCTCCCCCGGGCCCCACGGGCTCCTGTGCCAACGGGGGCTGCGGGATCGGACACCCCAGGCACGGGGCCGATGGGGAATAAAGGCTGCTGCGGCTGTGCTCCCCCTGCCGTGCTGGTTTTGGGGCGCCGGGGGTGTCCCGGTTCCCGGTTGATCCCCGTTCCCGTGGCAGGGACACCCCGCGGGCGGTCGTGCCGGGGTGGCACCGGGCGCTTGGCCGGGTTCGGGGGGGTTTTCCCGGTTTGCTGCTTTTTTCGCTCCTAGGAAAACACCCGGGCTTGGCGCAGGGTGGAAGCGGCACCTCCAGCCCCACCTCCAGCAGAGCGGGGGACGGGGGGTGGCCGAGCCCCCCAGGAGCCAGGCTGGGAACGTCCACCCTCCCCAGGCAGGGGATTTCGGGGTGCCCCCCCTGCAACCCCGCGGCCCCCAAGCCGCGGGATCGGCCGTGGAGACAAGCGGGGGGGGACAGGCGGGGGCCACCATCCGGGACAGCCGCACGGACTCTGTCCCGGCCTTCGGGCCGCTCAATCCAGCAGCAGCAGCAGGAGCCGCGGCCCCTCGGAGCCGCCCCGCGGGTTTTGGGGCAGTGAGGGGCAGAACGCGGGTGGCCGAGCCCCCCAAAGACCCCGTGCACCCCAAAACCCCCCGCACGCCATGTGTCACATGGACCCCACAGACCCCCTGCCCTACAGGTCCCCCCTGCCAGCCCGGGCACCCAGGGCACCCCAGAACCCCCTGCACCCCACGCACCCCAAGCATTCCATGTACCTAGGGCATTCCAGGCATCCCACATGCCCAGGGCACCCCACGCTCCCCATGGAGCCCCCGCACCCCGCGTGCCCCCCACGCCCATCAGCACCCCAAGAACCTCCTGCACCCCTCGCAGCCCACCCACGCCCAGCCCCGCCATTCTGGGGGGGTTTGGCAGCGATTCCTCGTGGTGGGCAGGACTGACGGTGGAATCAGGGACTTTCCTAATGGGAACGGCGCACACACCCCAAAAGTCCAGACCACACCCCCTTCCTAGCAGAAGGTGACTGTAACTTTTGGGGAAGCCCTAGAGCTGATGTGGGAGCCCTACAGGCGTGTTATAGGGGATTTAAAACTTCGCAGAGAACTTGGGGGGGAACCTACAAGTTTTGGGGAGTATAACTTTGTGATGAGCTCTGCAACGTTTGAAGAACCCCTGTAACTTATCGGCAGCCCTATAATTTGGCGGGAGACATCGCTTTTGCGCGAATCCCCCGAATTTTAACGCTGCGTGTTTCACCCCGGTAAGTCCGCAGGAGCCGTCGGGAGTTTTGCGGGATGCTCCGCGGTGACGGCATCCCCGCGTTTATTCGGGCAACACTCAGAATCCCGAGCCGTAACAACAAAACCGCAACTTTCGGGGGTCCTCTGCGACTTTTGGGGAGCCCCGCGAGTTTGGCGGGAAAAGGCGGTGGTGACTTTACGGCGGGCCCGGGGGTGCCGGCGGGGACTCGGTGGTGAGCAGGGGGTGAGCGGGGCGGGCTGGCGGAGGTGGGGTGGGGTTGTTTTGGGGGGGTGTTTTGGTTTTTGGGGGGGTCCCGCGGGCAGCGCGCGCGGCGGGAGGGCGGGGCGCGCGAAGATGGCCGCTGCCGGCGGGGGCGTGGCGCGGCCGGGCCGGGGGGGCGTGGCCGGCTCGCGAGGGCGGGGGCGTGGCCGTCTCGAGCGAAGTGGCAGCGGGCCTCGACCAATCAGTGGCGCGGAAAGCGGCGGCCGCGTTCCAGCCCGCGCGCTCCGGCCAATGGCGCGGCGCTCGGGGGGCGTGGCCCGGCCGGCGCCGACACCGGGGCCGCGCGCGGCGGAGCGCGCTCCCCCCGCCGGGCCGCGGCCGCTCCGCGCATGGACCCCCCGCGCCCGCCCGCGGTCCTAATGCCCGCCCGCCGCCGCCGCCGCCCGCCGCCGCCCGCCGCGCCGCCCGCCGCCCGCGCCGACCCCGCCAAGGTACCGGGGGGGCGGCGGCGAAGAGCGGGGTGGGATCCGGGGGAGGCGGCGGGGGGGCGGTGACAGCTGACAGCGGCCCGCCCGAAACTTTCCCCGCCGGTAAAATGGCGCCGCGATGGGATAAACTTTGGGGAGCGGGAAGGGGGGGGTTGTGGCGGCGGGGCGCGGAGGGAGGGGGTGGATCACAGCGGCCGCGCCCCCGGCGGGATCGTCTCGCCTGGATCGCGGCGCTTTGGGATCTTGCCGGGATCTCCCGCCGCCGGGATCCGCCCGGCCCCGCCCCGGGGAGAGCGGCCGGGATCCGCTTGGAGCGGGATCCGCTTGGTGCTGGATCCCGTGGGATCTCCCCGGAGCGGGATCCGCTCGGTGCCGAGCCCGGGCAGCGGGTGCCGGTGTCGGGCTGGCCTGGCGGGCACGAGTGCGCTCCCAGCGCTGGGAGAGCCGCTGGATCCCGGCTGATCCGCTCAGAGCGGGAAAAACTTGGGGTGTGGATCCACAAGGTGTGGATCTACACCGGGGTGTGGGATGTGGGTGCTGCCACCTGAGGGCTGCGTTGCCAGGAGGGTGTCAGGTCCTGGCTCTGTGGAGATCCCTGCTGGATCCCCGATGATGCTGAGCCAGTGGGTGATGGTGCTGGCAGCAGCATCACAGGGGCATCTGGGGAGCGCTCAGGAACTCCTGGCTGGATCCCGCTGCGACCTGGCGGGATCCACTTGGGATTTACCCCAGGGGGAGTGGCTGGCAGGGTCCCACCACGGCCCTGCCTGGAGGCGCTGATCCAGCTGCCCAAACCCGGCTCCCCATCCCACCGAGGCCGTGGGGATCCCTGCGGAATCCACTGCTGGGGATCCCTATGGAATTCTCCGCTGGGGATCCCCGCTGCCCGCTGCCGTGTCTCCCGCAGGCTCCGCTGGGACCCGAGGGCTGGCTGGGGGAGCCGCCGTCGCGCCAGGACGAGGCCGTGCTGCGGGCGCTGGACGCGGGGCTGGAGCGCTGCCTGGCGCTGCACTCGGCCGTGCAGTGCATCCCGGTGCCCCGGCACAGGTAGGGACCCCGTGCAGTGCATCCCGGTGCCCCGGCACAGGTAGGGACCCCGTGCAGTGCATCTCGGTGCCCCGGCACAGGTAGGGACACCGGCACGGCCCCCACCGGCACTGGCCTGGCTGCGGCAGCCGGGATTCTTTCTGCAGGAGGACTTTGGCCGCTGGTGGCTGTGCTGGGATCCCCGGTGGTGAGAGGCTGTCCCGCCGTGGCAGCTCCGGGGACTCCCAGCTGGGACCATCACCAGGTTATCCATTTCCAAAACGTTTTTGGGTGCTCTTGACCTCTTGCTTTTTTTTTTAGCCTAAAATTTTTATAGTTTTTTCCCACCTCAAGGAGTTGTTTGGCCTTAGGCAAGCCATCCCTGTGTCCCTGGAGGATGCAGCTGCCAGTACCCTCTGGTATAGTGCTGCCCATGGTCATGGAGGGTTGCCCCTGCATGGCACAGGCAGTGGCATTTTGGCAGCTTGCCTGCACATCTGCCTGTGCCATGCCTGGGGGAGTTCCAGCCAGCTGCTGGGATGATCCCTGGAGGGATCAGCAGCATCTCGGGATGCTGCAGGGTGTGGGGCACCTGTGGGTGCCTTTCCACCTGGTGATGCCACCAACATGGTGGGGCCACTGAGACCTTGTGCCAGCCCTGTACCCCCACACAAACCACCCTGGGGTGGGTGCAGGCCACTGTGGGTGGGAGGTCATGGCACCCCAGTGGGGTTATAGGGGATTTGTAGAGGGTCCCAGGGATTCTGTCCATCCTGACACAGCCCCTCTGCTCTCGCTGGCAGGAAGCTCTCGGGCAAGGCGGGCATTGATGAGGTGATGGCAGCTGCGGTGCTCACCAGCCTCTCCGCCAGCCCCCTGGTGCTCGGGCACCCACCAGCCACTCATGCCACAGGTAAGAGCCTGTCCCTGTCCCCCCATCCCTGGATGTCTGTCCCACTGCAGGACCTGACCTTCCTCTTCCTCCTCCTCCTCACCAGAGCCTGGCAGCGAGGTCTGGAAGGAGGCTCCTGCCATGTCCTCCAGCTGCAGCAGCAGCAGCAACGCCAGCGGGGACTGGAGCTGGGACCCCTCCAGCGACCGATCCACCCCCTCCACCCCCTCACCCCCCCTCTCCAGCCACGTCCCCAGCACCTTCCTGCCTGGCCCGCTCCCAGATGAGGGCCCTGATGAGCCCGACGGCACCCACTTCGTCTTTGGAGAGCCCACCCCACGGAAGAGGAAGGTGGGATGAGGCTGGGGATGAAGATGGGGGTGAAGTTGGGTTTTGGGAATAGTAAGGATTAGGAGGATGAGGTTAAGGATGGGGATGACAGTTGGGATGAGTTTGGGAATGGGGATAGTAAGGATGGAGATGAGGAGGAGAATGACATTTGAGGTGGGAATGAAGAAGATGAGGTTGGAGGTAGGGATGAGAGCTGAGATGAGTTTGAGGGTACAGGTAAGGTTGGGGATGACAATGAGGGTGATATTTGGGCTGGGATGACAGTGGGGCTGGAGTTGAGGCTGTGAATGAGGATGGGGATGGGGCTGCCAGCCTGACACCTCTCTCCTGCAGAACTCCACCAAGGTGATGTTCAAGTGCTTGTGGAAGAGCTGCGGCAAAGTCCTCAGCAGCTCCTCAGGGATGCAGAAGCACATCCGAACCATGCACCTTGGGTAAGCACACGGGGTACCCCTGGACACCCCAGACCCCCTGGCACCTCCTGCAGGGCCCTGCAGTGCTGGGGGACAGTGTCCCAGCCAGCCTCTGCTCTCCCCACAGCCGGAAGGCCGACCTGGAGCAGAGCGATGGCGAGGAGGATTTCTACTACACGGAGCTGGACGTAGACATGGAGGCACTGACGGACGGGCTCTCCAGCCTCACCCCCGTGTCTCCCACCTCCTCGGTGCCCCCTGCCTTCCCTGGCCCCGAGGCTCCTCTGCCACCAGCCCTGCCCATCCTGGAGCTGGCCCTGGCCTCCCCCTGCAGCCCCCCGGGGCCCCCCGGCCGCTGCCACGTCCACACCGACCACGCGTACCAGGTGGGGGACAGGGATGGAGTGGAACAGGGATGGAGGGGGACAGAGATGAGGGGACAGAGATGGGGGACAGGGGTGGGGAACAGGGATGGAGGGGGAGAGGGATAGAGGGAGACAGGAATGGAGTGGGACAGGGATAGAGGGAGGCAGGGATGGGGGACAGGAATGGAGTGGGACAGGGATGGAGTGGGGACAGGGATGGAGTGGAACAGGGATGGGGGACAGAGATGGAGTGGGGATAGAGATGGAAGAGTGACAGGGATGGAGGGGTCAGGGATTGAGTGGGAACAGGGATGGAGGTAGGGACAGGGATGGATGGAGTGGGCACAGCAATGAAGTGGGCACAGGGATGGAGGTGGGACTGCTGCACTCCCTCATCACCCTGTCTTATGAGGGTTGTGTCCTCTCCCTCCAGGGCTGCCGGACCCCCCCACGGCCACCCGTGTCCCCCACTGTCCCCACCCCACCACCACCCAAGCCACCGGCCGTGCCCAGGTGAGCCATTGCCATCATGCCCCACCTTGTCCCCTCTCCCCCGCCATGTGTGTCCCCGGTTGTGACTGTCCCTGTGCCCGCAGGCGGCCGCGGGGCGAGGCCAAGAAGTGCCGCAAGGTGTACGGCATGGAGCACCGGGAGATGTGGTGCACGGCGTGCCGCTGGAAGAAGGCGTGCCAGCGCTTCCTCGACTGACGACGGAGCCCCGCCGCTCCCTCCTTCTTGCACATTTTGCACTCGAGGTGCCTTCGCGCCCCCCCGGCCGCCCCCCGGACTCAGGGAACGGCCCCCCGAAAGCTTTATGCACACACACAGCCCCCCCTGCCACGGAGCTTGTCCCCCCTGCCTTGTTTTCCCTTTGAAAATAAGCTAAATCCATCGGTCCCACCCCGCTCCTTGCCGGGGGGGCTGGCAGGGGGTGTCTCGCTGCTCCCGGCCCCCTCCCCACTCCGGTTTGGGGACCCCCCCATGGCTGAATAAGCTGTGCCTGTGGCCGGCAGGGGCTGGGAAAAGGGGGTGTCTGTTCCTGCCCCCCGCCTGCTCCCGGGGGGCAGCCCCAGTGCCCAGGGCAGAGGTGGGCGCCTGCCCCCCCTCGCCCCCCCCAGGGGGGTTTTTACTCTTTGTAATGTCATTTCTCTCTCTCGTTTTGGGGAGCCCCCGCCGGGGCCATGCCCCGGGAAGTGCCTGCAGGAATGCGCCCATTTGCACTAAGCCAAACTGCACAAAGAGGGGTCTTTTTTGTTTTCCTTTACTTTTATTTTTTTTTTCCTTCGTGTGGTTTTTATTTTTTAAATAAAATATATGAAAATTCGTATTTTTTACCTACTCCCTCGCACAGCACGAGAGCGCGCGGGCCGCGGGGTGCCTCCAGCCCTGGGCGGGTTTCAAGGGGTTAATTCACTTTAAACCCCCTTTTTACCCAAAAAAAACCCCAATTTCCTCCTCAAATCCCTTCCTCCCCTCTTGTCCTGTCACTCTCCAGCCCAGGCAGCAGCTCGGTTTGGCCAGGCCATGCCACCCTGCTCCTCTCCCCATGCAGGGAGGGGACAGGGGAGTGGTGGCCCTGCCACCCTCCTGCCCTGTGGGAAGGTTCCCTTTGCATCAGTGACCCCCCATTGCAGGGTCCCCCCTTGCAGGGTCAGACACTGCTTGGGCCCCGTGGGTCAGGCTGGTGCTGTGCCCTCGCTTGTCCCCTCCAGGGATATGATGTATCAGATCCAAAAGAAAAAAAATAAATACTTGGATTTTTTTAATGATTCCTGTTCTTTAGTTGCTGTTAAGACAGGCAGGGTGGGCACCCTGGGCCCCTTGGCACCCCCAGACCCACTGCTGTCACCCCCTTCCTGCATCCCACATCCCCCAGGGATGGCATCTCCCTGTGCATCTTCCTGGGAGCTATTTTAATTTCAGATAATGCCCAAAAAATCAGGAAATTTCCACCAACAGGCAGCAGGGAGGAAGGGAATGAGCCACAGGTGCCTGTTTGGGATGGGGATGGGGAAAGTGGAGGGGTGAGCAGGGCTCCCTGCTGGTCCCCATATTGCCCCATCCTTCCACACAGGGCAAGGAGGAAAATAATAATAATTACATATTAAAAAATAAAAGAAAAGAAAAAGCAGACAAAATTGTAGCAGCAATTTCCCAATTTATTGAACTGATTGATTTTTGCAGGTTTGTCTAAGCTAAATCCCATCACAAAGGTTCTATCCGAGGGGCAGCCCCCGGGCAGGTGAGGAACTGGGCAGCAACTAGAAAATAAAATCAGATTTACCTGAAACTACATTGACAGAAAATCAGTACAACACAGCATGTTCTCCCACTGACTTCTGGTTACGAAATCTCCTCAACCTCCCCAAAATATTAAACACATCTTCAATACAAACACAGGTTTATAATAATTAATATAAAGTCAGTATAATATAGAATATTCCCAGCAAAAAAAAAATCAACAATCTTCAAACACCATCCTTTTTGTGTTTGTTCAGCTTTATTTTTGTAGACAGGTTTAAAGCACGTTGAAAAATAAATATATATGAAAGCATACACACAGCACTCTGACTAGGGGGACTAAAAAAAAAAAGGTTGAAATTCAAAACACGACTCAGGATCTACAAAATCAAAGGAACCATTAATTATGGCTTTTGTAGGAGTCACACGTGTCACAGAATGAGCGAAAATTAGATTATCTTTCAGAATATTGCAAAAAATTCCAGTTTTTGCATTGTTTTCATGGAGTTTCTTTCCTCAAGGGTGATGTGCAAAAGGGGGAGCTTTGAGGGGAGGTGCTCAGGGTCAACCCCAAAACGCAGCAACCACCCCAAAGCCACAGCTTTGCTTGGGGGAAATGGAGTGTTTAAAGGCAGGAGTGGGGAGAGGAAACAAAAGGGGAAGTAATGCTGGAGTGGGTTTCCTTCCGGACAAAAATTACTCATTTTTCTGTCCAAAAAACTGAATTTTGATTAAGGGAAAAAAAAAAAAAAAGAAAAGGGAAAGGACAATCACGTTGCAAACCTTCATTAGGGAAGTCCCCTCTGCTTCCCCACAAAGCCGCTCTGCAGCTCTGAGGTTTGGGGTGACCTTAAAAACCACAAAACTGGGGAAATTCATGATTTCAAGAATATTTTCTGGAAATCCCAAATCAACACAAGGACCTCGTTTGTCTCCATCCTTTAAGATGTTCTCCAAGTCCATGGATCCCTGGGATGTTCTCCAGAGGGCTCAGACAGGACGATGCCCTCTGCCCCATTCTCTACTCCTGGCACTCAGATTTAAAATAAAAAATGAGGGTAATCAAGGCATTCAAGGAAGAACATTTACATGTACAAATGCTTTAAAAAAATGAATTGCAAGTTCTCAAGATGGAGTATATCCATGTTTTACCTCTAAGGGAGTTATTGTTGTGGAACTAAGTCTGTATATATATACACACACACACATATATATATATATATATATATATTTAGAAAAAAATTAAAAAAGGGAACCTCAGTGAAGTATACAAAGCCCTGAAGGGAATACAAAGACGAGATGCAGAACAGGCAGAATTAGTGGGGTTTTGTTTAAATCTCCAAGAGCAGAAGTTTGCATAGGCAGTATATCCGAGAGACCCCGGAGAGAAGCTGGAGGGATGCGATCACCTGGAGTGACTGATGAAGTTTTTATAAAGTTTCAGCATAAAAAACGCACCCAAATTCCTGTTTTTCAAACCCAAGTTGGAGCATGGAAGGCTAAAGATGAATCCCTGTGTTTCCAACTCTGCACAGCTCCATCAGAACAAAGCACTTCAGTAGAGATCAGGTGTTAGAAGGGTTTTATTTGGTACATGGAGTGTGTTAGTGGGGCAGAAGCATATGTGAGGTTATGACATGGGGAAAGTTAGTTTTTGTGTGGATTTTCCATTTTTCTCTCCCTTTTTTTTCTTTCGCTTTATTTTTTGCATCCTCAGTTCAAAGAGCCTCAAAGTGACACAGTTTGGAAACACTCCTGAGCGCTACCTGGCTCTCTGCCCACCTTTAATAAAAATAAGGAAAGAAAAGAATAAAATATCCCCAGGGGGATTGTGAAGAAAGCTCAGCACTCCATAATTCTGATGGCAAAATTGAGTCACCCAAGGGCAGGGAGGAAGAGGAGGGCTTGGCCCACACCTGCTCCTCCTCAGAAGGTGGATGCACACACCAGCATTGGAGGGGATGGGCCATCGGAATGTGACACAAACCCAGGGGTTTGAACTGTTTGGGCTTTAAAATTCTCTTTAAAATAGATTTTTACGTATAAAAAGCAAAGCTAAAGATAAATCTTTTAAGTACTGTATGTATTTGTCTACATGCAACAGGTGAGGCTGCACATTCAGGACTTCAGGCACCCCCTAACCCCTCTCTATTTACAGGGTAAATGACAATAAATACAGAGCCCACATCTGGGGGGCCAAAATCAGGATAAGGGAACAGCCTCCTCACTCTCTGGGAGCCCCCAAAACCATTGGAAAAGGGTACATAAAGGTCCGATTGTGACATACTGGGTGGGTTTTTACAGCTTTTTAAATAGGGGAAGAGAAGGAAAAGAAGCTAAAAGGCAAAATGAGATTTTTACAAGCCAAGAAAAATGTTCTTACATGATCTGCTCTGCTCTTCCCATATTTAAAGAGGGTTATCCATGCTCACTGCCTAAAGCAACAAGTGCCACAACTCCTCCAGTCCCAGGGGCAGCAGCAGCAGGGCTGGTGTGGCCCCACTGAGCCACACTGGGATTTTAGGAAAGATCCGTGTTCCCACAGCACTGAACACCCCCAAATCCACGGGGCAGGAGCCTGGAGGCTCCCAATGGAAGCAATGGTGAACTGGATGTAGAGAGAAGGTGCTGAATGTCTGCAAGGAACTGAGGAGCAGAGAAAGGGAGGGAATGCCATAAACCCAGGATGCAGCTGGAAGGAGGGAAGGGAAAGAGACCCCAGCTCTGCAGGTGCCAGGATCAAGGCTCCCACCACACTCCATGAAATCCTGGCACCAAGTGGCTTAAATCCTTTCAAGTTATTTGCTTTATGGGGGTTTATTGTACAATATACTTTTAATTCCTTTGCTAGGTGGAACCACACTTTTCCTCATGGACCACCAGGCCTGCAGGAAGGAAAATAGCACCTTGAGTCATTTGGCTTCTGGCAATGGGGTGTCTTTCGTGGCAGGTTTCAAGGTACCGCAGTCACAGACATCATAAAAAATTGCTTGATGGCAAGGATGGAGTGAGGTCTTCAGCTTTTTTTAAAAAATTATTTTAAAAAGCACCAGAAGCAAAGAGGTGAAGGTAGAACAAGCTGTTTCTCAGGAATAAGACAATTCCAACACGCGCTGTTGCTGTTGTTATTTAGGTGTAGCTGAAAGAAGGCAACAGTGGCCAATATGAACAGGGAGAATCCGACTGTCTGGAACAGCCCCACAGAGTCTGAGGAGATGCTGGGAGAGAAACCTGGTTCTTATTTAAAGAAAAAATGGTTTATTGGAAAATTTACATGGAACCAGTGCAACTAAAGCTGAAGGTTTTTATCGTGAATTAAGTAGGTGTTAGATCTACCCATGATCAGCAAGAATGTTGAGATTGGCAAGGAAGAACAAGGTAGCCAGGTGAAATCCTGGCCCCATACAAGTCCATGGGATGGGAGCAGCAGGATTCCACCCTGCTGGGATCTCCTCACCTCAGCTTCTCACCTTCCCCAGCTCATCCTGCACGTGGCTGAATGCCTTCATTTTGCTACAGTTTGCATATATTTGTGAAAAAGGCAGCTGAGCAAAGGGAG